GGGAGGACTTATACTAGCGTCCTCTCATGACCCAAAGCTCAGTATAGGGCGAGCTACAGCTCACGGTATACTGAGACCGCAGCAGCCGGGACGGATCCCAACATTACTTTCGAGATCCACCCAGCTGCGTGAGTGACAGCTGACTCTGCCTATCTAGAGGCAGAGCCAGCTGTACCCGCCCCCTCCCCGTCCGTTCCGCCAGTCAGCGCTGGAGTATCGTAGCGGGGAGGGGGGGACCCCTGCAGGGAGCCGTGAGTGACAGTCACGGCTCTATGCAGGGACATGATCGAGAAGTGAGCGAGCGACGGTATGTGTTCGCTCGCTTCCAGATCTATTAAGCCGACCTGTGACAGTCTCATTGTCATAGGTCGGCTCGAACTATGAGGTGAGTGAAAATCACTCACCTCATAGTTCTCCTTTAAGTGATTAAAAAAAGTTTCCCTCAAGTATGGAATATTTATACAGGTATAAAATCACAGTTTTTGTGATTATATGTAAATGTTCTACTTACTTTTATGGAACACACTACATATGAAGCATAAGATCAATCTACTAAAATAAATCCTAATAAAAAAATATTTTTTTAATCACAGCAGCCAGTCAGCAAGTGTCATTCATTCTTCTATTTAATTGATCTATTATCTATATTACTACCTACCTATATAAAGTGTGCTAATGTAATAAGACAAAAAAAAAAACCTCCAGCAGCCAATCAGCAACTGTCATTCCTTCTTCTACTCAATCTACTATCTGTTAATGTGCAATACAGCGCCCAATAGAGAAGTATCTTCACATCAACATTGATAAGGGGGAGGGCTGCCGTCCTCAAGATCACCAGGAAGCATCATCACCAGACATGTAAGCAGGAAAAAAGAAAAAGGGGACGGCGCCCATTCATAGAGCTCTGAGGAAGGGGGATACTCCCCCGAAACGCGTGTCAGCTTTCCTGTTTTCTTTGACAACTACAATAAGTTTTACACAATGAATGGGCGCCGTCCCCTTTTTCTTTTTTTCAATCTAATATGTAAATACAGTGTGCTCATGCAATAAGAGAAAAAGAAACCTCCAGCCACCAATCAGCAAGTGTCATTCAATCTTCTAATCAATTGATCTATTATCTATATTATTACCTACCTATATAAAGTGTGCTTATGTAATAAGACAAAAGGAAACCTCCGGCAGCCAATCAGCAACTGTCATTCCTTCTTTTGCTCAAACTTTTATGTAAAGCATGTGTATTTAACAAGACAAAAAGAAACCTTGGGCAGCCAATCAGCACTTGTCATTCCTTCTTCTCAATATGTTACAGTGGTACCTCGGTTCACAAACTTAATTCGTTCCACGATTCTGGTCGCGAACCGAATCAAACTGTGATCAGACCGCGATCTCGACTGTAGGAAGCCACGACCATGTGTCAGAGCAGGGAACATGGCTGCGGTTGTGTTCGTCACCCGATGCGGAGTTTGCGAATGGAAGCAACATTTTCCTGACACCTACATGGCAGCATAGAATGGGCTGGGGGCGGAGCCATACCCATTGTATGCTGCCATGTATTGGCGTCAGGAAAGGAAAATTACAGATAGGTAAATATACAATTTTCCATTTTCCTGACACCTACACATGGCAGCATACAATGGGTATGGCTCCGCCCCCAGCCCATTGTATGCTGCCATGTATTGGCGTCAGGAAAGGAAAATTACTGATGGGTAAGCATACCATTTTTTATTTTGCCGAACTTCCTGTTTGCGAACCGAATTGTTCGTGAACAGGAGCGTTCGTGAACCGAGGTACCACTGTCTATCGATATAAAGTGTGCATATTGAAGAAGAGAAAAATAAACCTCCATCAGCCACTCAGCAAGCGCCATTCCTTCTTCTGCTCAATGTATTATCTATCGATATGAAATATGTGTATTTAACAAGACAAAAAGAAAGCTCCAGCAGCCAATCAGCAAGTGGCATTGCTTCTTCTAATCAAGTGATCTATTATCTATATTTATGTCTACCTGTGTAAATTGTTATTTAATGAGATAAAAAGAAACCTCCAGCAGCCAATCAGCAAGTGTCATTCCTTCTTCTTCTCCATCTATTATCTATCAATATAAAGTGTGCTTATATAATAAGACAAAATAAAACCTCCAGCAGCCAATCGGCAACTGTCATTCATTTTTGATCTAATATCTGTCTTTCTATCTATAAAGTGAGTTTTTTTAATAAGACAAAAAGAAACCCACAGAACCGATCAGTGAGTGTCATTCCTTCTATTACTCAATCTATTATCTCTTAATTTAAACTGTGCTTACTTAACAAGACAAAAGGAAAGCTTCGGCAGCCAATCAGCAACTGTCATTCCTTCTTCTTTAATCGAATATCCATCAATATAAAGTGTACTTATGTAATAAGACAAAAAGAAACCTACAGCAGCCAATCAGCAACTGCCATTCCTTCTTCTCAATATATTCTCTATCAATATAAAGTGTACTTATGTAATAAGGCAAAAAGAAACCTCCAGCAGCCAATCAGCAACTGTCATTCCTTCTGCTTGATCTATTATCTATAATACAATATAAAGTGTGCATTTTTAATAAGAGGTTAAAAAAAAAAAAAAAAACCCTCTGGAGCCAATCAGCAACTGTCATTTCTTTTTCTCAGTATATTATCTATCGATATAAAGTGTGCTTATATAATTGGACAAAAATAAATCTCCAGCAGCCAATCAGCAACTGTCATTCATTCTTCTAATCAACTGATCAATTATCTGTATTTCCATCTACCTATATAAAGTGTGTTTATTTAATAAGACAAAAAGAAATCTCCAGCAGCCAATCAGCAACCGTCGATCCTCCCTCTACTCAATCTATTATCTATCTATATCAGTTGTGCTCATTTGTGAAGACAAAGCGCAACCACAGCAGCCAATTAGCAAGCCTCATTCTTTATTCTAAATGCTCCAAACTGATGAGCGGGGTGACTGCACTCTGCACACCATTACTGCCGGTTAGGCTGACCGCACACATTACAAGAATGGAAAGACATCTTAACGTGTATTGGCTGACACAGGATTCAGCATAGTCATGACACCAGATTTAGTTGTATGAAGCAATCATTTGTAAAGTTCAAACCGCTCGCACACATCGCTCTTTTTTCATCCCAATTTTTGCACATGTAGCAGATAGAACAATCCGTTTGTGATATGTATGGGCAATGCAGTGAATCTTGAAGTGTGCTTGCCTAGTGTGCGTTCCCATAAGTGTACTTTCATATAAATGCTTGCTTAGTGTGCTTTCCCATCAGTGTGCTTTACTATAATTGCTTGCCTGGTGTTCTTTGCCATAAATGTGCTTTCCTATAACAACTTGCCTAGAGTGCTTTACCATACATGTACTTTCCTATAAGTGCTTTAGTGTGCTGTTCTATTAGAGCATGCCTTGTGTGCGTTCCCATAGGTGTGATTTCCAATATGTGCTAGCCTAGTGTGCTTTCCTATAAGTGCTTCCCGAGTGTGCTCTCCTATAAGTGCTTCCCGAGTGTGCTTTCCCATGCATGTACTTTACTATAAGTGCTTGCCTAGTCTGCTTTTCCTTAGGAGTGCTTTCCTATAAGTGCTTGCCTAGTGTGCTTTCGCATAGGTGTGCTTTCCTATAAGTGCTTCCCGATTGTGCTTTCCCATAAGTGTGCTTTCCTATAAGTGCTTGCCTAGTGTGCTTTCCCATAGGTGTGCTTTCCTATAAGTGATTCCCGATTGTGCTTTCCCATAGGTGTGCTTTCCTATAAGTGCTTGCCTAGTGTGCTTTCCTATAAGTGCTTCCCGATTGTGCTTTCCCATAAGTGTGCTTTCCTATAAGTGCTTGCCTAGTGTGCTTTCCCATAGGTGTGCTTTCCTATAAGTGCTTGCCTAGTGTGCTTTCCCATAGGTGTGCTTTCCTATAAGTGCTTGCCTAGTGTGCTTTCCCATAGGTGTGCTTTCCTATAAGTGCTTGCCTAGTCTGCTTTGCCATAAGTGTGCTTTCCTATAAGTGCCTTAGTGTGCTTTCCCATAACTGTACTTTTCTATAAGTGCTTGCCTAGTGTGCTTTCCCATAGGTGTGCTTTCCTATAAGTGCTTCCCTAGTGTGCTTTCGCATAGGTGTGCTTTCCTATAAGTGCTTCCCGATTGTGCTTTCCCATAAGTGTGCTTTCCTATAAGTGCTTGCCTAGTGTGCTTTCCCATAGGTGTGCTTTCCTATAAGTGCTTGCCTAGTGTGCTTTCCCATAGGTGTGCTTTCCTATAAGTGCTTCCCGATTGCGCTTTCCCATAGGTGTGCTTTCCTATAAGTGCTTCCCGATTGCGCTTTGCCATAAGTGTGCTATCCTATAAGTGCTTCCCGAGTGTGCTTTCCCATAGGTGTGCTTTCCTATAAGTGCTTGCCTAGTCTGCTTTGCCATAAGTGTGCTTTCCTATAAGTGCCTTAGTGTGCTTTCCCATAACTGTACTTTCCTATAAGTGCTTGCCTAGTGTGCTTTCCCATAGGTGTGCTTTCCTATAAGTGCTTGCCTAGTGTGCTTTCCCATAGGTGTGCTTTCCTATAAGTGCTTGCCTAGTGTGCTTTCTTACATGTCCAGGAGCCCAGTACTGCAGGGAATTTGGGTGATGCTTGTAAATGGAGAATTGGACATCTGCACCATTGGGGTGTCTCCATGCCCGGCTGCACACTGACACCACACCATGCATGAACATACAGTGAATGTACACCCTATGTGCCCCCATAGCATGCTATGACTGTACACATGTTCACATACCCTGCAGACATATAACTATCCACATCACACATGTGTATGAGTGAATCCCATGTGTATGACTCCGGTTCATCCTGTACAGAAGTGTGTAGGGGGTACAGGGGGCAGTGCCAGGAGTCTCTCCCATGCAGTGATCAGTAAAAAGTTGCCAGTTGTAGGTGTGTGTGCTCCTGGCATAGCTGGCACAGTCAGTCCTATGGGGACAAGGACAGGGGGGGGACATACCTGGACAGCCGGGCTCACCATCAGCTCACCGAGCTCCAGCGCTCCCAGTCCCGAGCTGAGCTCCTACTGCAGCCGGTCCCTCCCGAGCACACAGGCTGCAGGGGGCGGGGCTACAGCGCGGACCGTCATTGGAGCTCCAGGCCACGCCCCCTCCGCTGGCTGGGGAATACTGCGCTCCCTCCTGTGTGCCCGCTATGCCATATGCCAGCCGGGGACTCCCTGCCCCTATGGGGCACTGCGCTCTATCTGCATGGCACACGTCTCTATACAGCCCTGAGCAGAGAACTCCAGTGTCCTTCTTCTACATGGACAGTCCCTCTAAATCCACCTGCCTCTCCTTAATGGTCAGGTGTATCACCATAAAGGATCCATTGTAATATCGCACTGAGGGTGTCAGCCTCTCCTTCAGCGTCCATACAACCCACTTATTATATTTAAACACTAGTATGGTGAAGCAAAGCATGAGTGGGATTAAAGTGACACCGAACTCAGGAGGTAGATCCTAAAAATACATTCAATTCCCCAAAGTATTAACAGAAATGTATCTTATGTGTGTATCACTCGGCTGT